ATTGCCTACTGAAACTGTGGCATTAACGTCCATATCCTTCTTTCTCTTCAGTATCGCAGATTGCCATGATTTTCTAGTAAATCACAAGCAGCAAAGCATAACAGGAATATTCTTAAAGAAGTTTCAGTACAGACAGTAACTAGACAGTTAAGCTACAACAGTGTTAAGAACTAAAATAGCAGAACTGTTTTTCCCCTTTACTGAGCTGCAGATGGACCTAGTATGAATCATGAAGAAAACTTTGCAAGTCTTCCTGCCTTTGTTACAGAGAAAGATCTAACCTCAGAAACTACTGAGTTTGACAAATACTTCTTTTTCACAGCACAGAGAGTATTTCTGGTGAGTCTGGAGCAGGAATAGACCACATCCAAGCATTTTGAATCTTCCTAGTCAATCTTGCTGCAATAGGCTCAGTTTTGCAATTTAGTACGTATTTTTTCGAACAATTCAACTTGGAATACGTTCTATCCATCTATCAAGGTAATCTGTTTCTACCCCACACATAATATAGTTCAGGTTTCCTCAAGTAACTTATTGAAACTGCAGATTTGCCTTAAGTAGCCCAAATAGAATGTGTTTTTTAGAGCATGCTATGCTCACAACAAGGACTTGAGCCGGTACTTTTTTGGTTTTTTTTTTCAGTTTCCATCTGGACTCAGGCACAACTGAAGTTGTTCTAATTCGGATGCCAGCAATGGTCTAATAACTGATTCTCTCCCACTGAAACAGCTTGCACTGGAAAACAGGATTTAAAAGTCAGAAAGGTGGTATGATAGGGTAGGCTCATAATGAAGTGTCTCAGCCAGTAAGACACCCCCCTTGTTACCTCCTGACTCCCGCAGGCACCACCACCATCCCCAGCAGAGCGTGTAAGTTTTCTCCCAGACTCCTTAATCTGAAACTTGAGATGTGGAGGTGGTGGTAACCTGGCAGCACTCATATGAACACAAACGGTGCCAGCACTGTATCAGGGGAGAGAAGAATCATAGCAGTGAGATAAAAGTCCCGTAACTTTTACTCTCTGATAAACCTGTATCTGCAGAGCAGTCCAAAACTACCCCCGTACGTGATGGTGGAAGGGACCCCAGGGTTGCCTCTGGCAGACAGAGCCAGTGGCATCCTAACAACTCGCTTCAGGCACAACAGCCCAGAGCCCTTCACAACAAAGAAACAAAAATCAACTATATGGCCAAGCCCTCCCTGTTAACTGAAGAAATCTTTGGGGATATCCTTCCCCCACTGGACAGACTGGTGGATAACATTCACAAAACCTTATAATGCAGAAATTGTGTCTCAACCTGACTCACACATTAAAGGTAAGCTCTGCCTGAACGCACTCTAGATCTCAGCTGGTCAAATCAACCCTACACTAAAGCAGTCTCTGCTGAGGCACAAAACCTATTAGTCAAACTGCTCTTTTGAACTGATAGCCCAAAAAAGTATCTCAGAAAAAGACCTGTTTCAAAGAAAAATTCCAAAATAGTAGCCAATATTCAGCTCGGCTACAGGAAGAAAGAAAATAGATTCCAGCTTGTATTTTCCTTCAGGTTTTGGGGTGTTTCTCTCCCCCATCCGAATGTGAAAAAACCCACACAAACAGAAAACAGGCACTATGTTAAAACAATTAGCATAAACAATGGTTACACGTCAGTTTTACACCTACAATGATTGCAGAAGTCTAACAAGGGAATGATGAACCTGAGATTTACTGAGATTTTAATCCTAGTCTTTCCACTGCTATAAACCCATACATCAAATATCTGTGTCTCATTTAACTTCATTTTACAGATCAAAAGGTTAGCACCACATTATTCAACAGCTTTCATATGGAAAGGCATACAGAAGTCTTTTTTTTTTTTTTTAAATTTTTATTGATTTTTTTCCCTGAAAAAAACAACAAAAAACAAAACCCATCGCCTATTTTAGAGAAATAACGTTTATTCAAATAATTACCATTTATTCTCTGAAAATTACACTTCCTTTACCATTCTACAACATGGCACAGGAACAATAAAACATCAGCAGCCATTAAGATATTGCAACAAAACACATTCATTCTGCAGGTCTTAAATCAGTCTGAAATGTGTAGTGCAACAATGATATGTCAAGATAATCGGTCCAAAACTTTGACACTTATTTGGAATACTTCATTGCAAATTTAATTTCTACTTTCCCAATTAAATTTTCCTTGGGTTAATAATGTCACCATTCAGTGTGTCTCTGTGGATGCGCATGTAACTGTATGCACATATACACGTATATAGTGTATTTGTGTATGTACACATACAACCCCAAATTTAAATATATTTTAGTAAACATCTTTTCTTCTTGATTTTTAGGGCCTTTTAACAGCAGCCATACAGATACTTTATGTGTGATATGCTTTTGAAATAGAACAAATGTTTCCGTAGACCTTAGATCCAATAAAAATACACAAAACATTTTCTTCACGGACATATTCACTTCAATGCACAAACCCCTTCCATTGCTCCATTTATTCCATTAGTGTAGGGGCTTAAATGATGCATGAGGCTTTCAGCAGCGACGTGAATGTTGTTTTTAAGAATCCAATAAAAAGATAAACAATACCGCAACCATAACTCAATACTGAGAAATATTTCCAAATAAAAGTACAACTGTAAACAGTACATTCAGGTCCAGCCTCAGACAGAAAGTGAAGTAATTTCTCCTGATGAGATCAGGCCCCAATTCAAATCGGCATTTAAGAATGTGCTTATTAACATTAAGCACCAGCTTTAGTCAATACAATTTAAGTTCAGGCTTATATGCTTTCTTGAGCCAGGACCTCAATGATTAGAAGAGGCTCAATTACAAATTAAAGGTAGCAAAACAGTCAATAGTGCACTGGGAAAATTAAAATCTACAAAGTCATTTCAGTTCTAACAACTGGTCAAATATGGCAAGTGCAAAGTCTGAAAGACTAAACTTGCTTTGTCAGTGCTACATTCCAGAAGAATAAATACAAAATGCTCTAAAATATTTGAGTTTGATCTCATTTTCCCCATACTTCCTAGCAGAGTTGCCAGGTACATTATTTGAGTCATTTGTCTAATTTCTTCAATCAAACAAATTATTTTTCCAATTAAGCTGCTCAATGCAATCAAGAATAGAAGTAAATGATGTGAAGAATGTTATGGCACCTGTGACTACCAAAAATAGAAGAGGGGATAAGTGAGCATACTGCTTCTGTATGGGAAGAAGTTCAGTAGTAAGATAAAGCATCCTCAAAACTATTCGTTAATAAAAATCAAATGTCATTGATGCTGATTAAATTGAATCTTTCCTCTGAAATTTTAAGGAATTAAAAGACTATCTAAACCCATTTCCAATAAACAAGAAATAGTTTAAAATTCTCTCTTCTACCCTAAGGAGTCTGGCCAATTCTAATCAAACTTGAGGAACACTAAAGGCAGGCATCAGTAAGTTCTTAAAAGGCTGGTGAAAATCTGTGGCAGTGTGGCTAATCAGACCACAAAAGGGACAGCAGCAAAATAAAGCAGATGCTGTTATTAATGCCTCCCCTGAAGCAAAGGTGCAGAGTGATCTCATTAGCTCTCTGCTCTGTGGGTCCTGCTGCTTAACCAGACAGCATCTGCAACACCTGGAAACAGCCTCAGCACAGGAGTGCCTTTTGCCCATCCAGCTGTTACGGGACAAAGTAAAAACTGGGATATGCCATGAGAGAGGAGGGAGGCAATCCCATGGGATAAGTGAAGGTGAGATCCACAAAACTGAAGAAAAACAAATAATTTCATTGCTCACATAGGTTTTGTTTTGAAGCCAGATTCCGATTTTTAAATTTAAGGAACTTGGGGCTTAAAAAACAAAGTAGCTGCAGGGTACTACATCATGTATCTTCAGGAACTGCTACATACATACTCAGAATGCAGCACAGGAGGCTGTTGTCTTAACCTTGGGACCTCTCCTCACACTCAGAAGAGCTGTGCTACAGTTGTAGCACAAGCATTTCCTAGTCCCTGCAAACAGCATACTGTTCACCTTTGTCCTCATGGTAAAGTGAGAGGTTAATCTCCTCACCCATTTAGTAACTGGTACATCTTTTTTGAGTGAGTTAGTACCATTCAGATAGATATGTTTGTGTGGGTACCATGTTTTTCGTAAGGAAATTAATTTCTCATGTGAATACTAAGTATTCATCAGATGCCAGCAACCTTGTCAGCACCAAGCAAGCTCTATCCAGTGATAGAAAAGTCTGCCTTTGTCACCCTGAGCTAACCAGGGTCTGTTTATAAAATCACTCCAGCCTGTTGAGCAAAAAGAGATGATGCTACTCTTCCAATTCATATACCCTTTTAAATTACATGTTGCTTTGAAGACTTCTTTTTGCCATCCTCAGTATTCTCTCTCATTGCTTAGATATCATAATCAGATGTACACCATATAGACACAGTTTTGAGATACAAGAACTAATATGTTCTATCTACTACATTCTCCTCCCTTTTGATTCTTTCACATGCTGCTCCATCAGAAGACAAATCTATGGAAGCAGATACTAATTTTATTCTTAAATACAAAAAAAAACCCATGCAAAAATTTCTTTTTAAAGCAGATATTACTCATTTTTCTAGTGTTAGACAATGAAAAATATTGCAGGCCAACAGTATGAATTTCAGTGTATATTCTCTCCAGTACTTACAAGATGGCACAGAATATAAACAGAGCAAAAGGTTTTTATAGTGCTTAGAATTAATATATCAAACAAAATCTGCAACAAAAAAATAATAGTCAAAACCCCGGTGTCATTGCACTGCACAGGAAAACTTCCAAATTTCAGGAGTTTTACATAATCACTTTTCTCAGTTCAGTCTTAAATTATAACATGTGGCATATGCATGTACAAGATCAACAACTGCATATAAACAAACATATTTCCTCTGCACTGTATAAGCTACAGACATTAAAAAAAGACTACTTTTGCTCAGAAAATACACACACACATATATTAAACTTCAAACTCAGGAAATCAGCTGGAGGTTTCATCATGAAGTGTTCTGTGCTTCTGCAGCACTGTATTTAGTTCCTGAATCACATTTGATGGTAATTTGTTATCTAATTCTGAAACAGTTTTGTTTGGTTTGTTCTTATTTTTCTTCAGTGCCTTATGTCGGTTTTGGTGTAGGTCAGTCATTCCTGCACCTACATCCTCAACAGAGATCAAGCTCCGATGTGTTTTTGCATGATTTCGCACTTTCTCCTCCTTCCATTCCAAACACTGTGCCACAATAGATGCTTTTTCTTTCAAGTTTTTTCTTTCTTCCAGAAAGTCATTTTCATGATGCTCACTGAATTTTGGTTTCCCAGATTGCAGTTCTACATTCTGAGCAAACAAGCAAAGAGAAATAAGGTCATTCACATTCACACAATATTCAATAATATTTAGATTGCAATTTTTGCTCATTAGTTTCACATAACAGTTTAAAAGAAAAATCAATTTTACTCAAGAGCCAAGACAGCACAGTTAGTAGTTTTAAATTCCCACAATTTGTGCTATTATCATTTAGTAAGCATTTTAAGTGAGCATATTTTCTCAATCAGTGATACTTCCGGAAATTACATAAATCTCAGTTAAATGCACCGTGACCATGAAGACATTCATTTTCATATATTCACAGTTTGATTTTGCATTCTACCACAGTAGACTAAATTGTGATGTTTTACAGGAGATCCACATATTCTTAAAAACTCAGAATTTTTAAATTGAACAAATACAACTGAGAATGTTGCAATTTTAATAACTTAATGACTGAGCTACATGAATATAAAAAAGATAATTTTACATGATCACATAAACATTTTCAGCAGCTGTTCAGTACTACCTGATAAATTATAAAGACTGTCTGCTTTTTCAAATTTTGGCTAGCAATTTTAAGTAATATACTGGGAACGCAGATAAAACAACAAACTGATGGCAATGCAACTGTTCCATGTTGGTGGGCTGTTTCAAGTTCTTAAGCTGTAGTAAATGAAAGGTAAATCAAATGCTGCATCTAAATTCGCAACTGGTGTGGCCCATTAGGAGCACATCTGTACAGTCAAAGAAAGTGCTGAGAACCCGACATCCACACTAACACTATTTCAGGGCTCTTGCCTTTTTTTTTTTTTTTTTTTGAATACAATTCAGACTAGCTTTAGCTTTCTCCTACAGGCAGAAGGCCTATTTTCGACTGCAGTGCATTAGATATGCTCCTGCAGAACATCTTCAACTTCAGTTTCATCTGAAAGCAATCCAAGTTCACATGCTCCAGAACCACTCCACAATATGAAACAAAACACAGTAAATGGGAACAACTGGAAGATTTGCTCCTTAAGTGCACTCCAGATCCTAACTAGAACACTCATGTAGATGTATCTAAACTAGCTCCTCTCTAGTGTTTGAATATTTTTTCATGTTTGCATTAACATATATGAGATACCAAGATTTGATGAGACAACTTGCTCATATGCTACGCATTAATAACTCCAAAAAAATCCAGACAAACTGAACAAGTGCCACACAGGAAAGACAAAAAGAATCAAAGTCTCCCTCAGCTTTGAGCATCTTCTAGTAGTCAACAAAGATATCATATGAAAGAAGAATTCCAAGACCTCATTTTCTTTGAGAACTATAAGGCTCTTCCACAAAAGGAATGATCTGCCTACTGCCACACCAACTGAGCAGACAGAATACAGCAAATTCCTCTACCATTATTTGTTTTACAGTGACATTTCTTTCTTCATGAGGACAGCAAACATAAGCCCATTACAAAAAAATGAGTGTTGATGCAGCAAATTATTGCTGTGTAGGAAGAAAAACAGTAAATATTAAATGAGTCTACATTGAAGAGATCTAAGCTATAAAACAAAGTCTAAATTTGTGCAGTCTCTTGAAATTTCACCTGAGCTAGTACCTGTTCAGTAATACAAGACATAAACATTTAGATAATATAAATCATAGTTTTTAAAAGAGCAGAGAAAGGAGTTATTTTATTGATATCACTTTTAGCATTAACAAGGCTGGTATTTCTAGTTGCATCGAGCAACAATGAAAACTACCCATTAATAATGAAGTACCAGTAGCCATGATATGCAAAATAATCAGTCCCACAACAACAATGCACGCAAGAGTTTACACTGCTACATGGGCTGCCACTGGTGCATGCAATGGAGCAGATTTTAGCTTCCCTGAAGACTCTTCTAATTCTACTGCCATCAGTAACAACTGCTACCAGTTTAGTATCTCCTGTTATCACCTAAGCTAGCAAGAAGCATCCTAATATTTAACACGTTCAGCTATATTCAGTAAAAAAAAGTTCAAGGTAACTGAGGAACTGTCCCAATGACTCATGAATGTGGGGAGTTCTGTTCTGCCAAATATTTGAAAAAGCTATAATTTTCCATTTAAAATAATTTCTTTCCATTTAAAATAATGCTCTTGCATGAACAAGAAAACAGTGAGATTATCACCAGTGACTCAGGTTCAATTAATAAACTAATAATAAAAGGACTATCTGTGATAATACCCATGTAATATGTGAAATGTAAATTGTCATGCAGTACCTTTCAGAAAACACAGTAACATACTCCAAGCTATTCACTGTTACTCAGCAAACTAAGATATGAATTACTGGTGAAATTCAGTCAGGAGCAACAATTATCTATTTACAGAATTTTTTACATCATGTTTCAGTTTTGCATCTTTCGAGAAGAAAAATACCAACTACACTTCTGAAATCAGTACAGTTCTGCTAAACTGGGTATAGCAGGAGCCCTTTACATAATGAAAGTAGGAACAGATCAAATACAGCACTCAAACCTAAAGGTTGCCTACTTCTGTGAAACAGTCTTGTATATTGGCACGTAGCCCCTTAACACAGACTACTACTCAACATTTTCAACTTTTAAAGCAGATTCAGTATATAAAGAAATCCTAATTCCCAGACATTTGCATTGTAAGAATAATCAAGTGATGGAGCCAAATTCTGTTATTCAAATTAGAGCATTAACAGTTAGAGTTATAAACAGTTTCCCTTATAAATAACATACCAAAATGATGTGTGAACAAAACTGCCACATCAAATTTCTTAATAATATTATTTCTTAGTATTTGATCCACTGCCCACTGTTGGTCACATGCTATAAATTACACTGCTCCATACTGTTCTCCCAATAACACCTAATGTAAAAAGCAACAATTTCATGTTAGAAGCAGCTGTTTGCCTCTAAATTTCAGCCCCTTAATCAAGTAATTGGTGAATAAATTGATAATAATATGTACATCTAACTACATTTTTTCTTTTTCTGCACAACGCCACCAAAAAATATGGAGCAGCTCTATCTATTTGCATCCTCCATTATCCCTGTGACATACTGTTCCTTTCAAAATACTACACAGGTATAACCTATTATAAGCCAGTGTGGTATTTGACCATGGCTTGAAAGAAAGTTTTTCCTCATTCCTCAATCTTCCTGTATTTTGAAATAAAATTACAGACTTAATGCAGATATATAGCAATGTATTTGTATTTCAGTTAAATGATTCTATATGAGAACTATGCATAATTTAAATGCACTATCCATGTATGCAACAATTGGTGCAGAAATAATGGAAATCTTATGATTCTGTCTGTTATTAGAAGGATTCTTATTTATACAGTGCTTTCAAACTTTCTGTATTATATATTTATCTTGTTAGCACACAGTAAAACTACTTCCAATAATGGGAAAAAAGAAGACATTCAATAAAGATTCTTTAGCACAAAAATTAATATCAAACTTATTGGTTTCTGGGTATCTTTGAGATGGTTTGGGTTTTTTTCCCCCACTTACCTTCACATCATAAAGATGTTAATTTTTTCACTGTTTGGAAAACTTTCAGTCTCTTTTCCTGCCTATATGAAGATAACTTTGATCAAATTTCTACTACAAGTATATGCATTAGTCTGTAAACAGACCTCCATTTTTCATAAACCAGCATCTTTCAGAAAATGCTTGCTCCTGTTATTACTCTTTCATGCTTTAAAATGGGAGATATTATTGCTTGTTGAAGTACTACAAATCCATGGAAAGACTGAAGGTGTGGTCTCCAAATGGCTGTCTATTGCTTTACTGACTACACTGCTGTACAATATTTCTCCTTAATAAACAATATTTTATACTTACTTTCCACCACTATTTTACTGTTCATTCCAGTTTTGGCTTTCCATGTAAAAAAAGTGTTAGTTTTTATTTTCCATTATATAATCTTCTGTTAACCTTCCCAAGGTATGCAAATACCCTTTGCATAAAACTTCTCTAGATCTAGTCATGGCATAAATAATGAAGACTGTGATCTTCTACTTTTAAGTTTAAATGCAGACTTCCTCTAAGTTGCAGTACAAAACATTAGACTCCTTCCCAATGAGGCACATTATCATCAAAAATAATAAAACAAAATAATCCTAGTACGATAAGGTATTAAGGAATTTAAATAATGAAGTTCAAAATCCAATAAAACCTTTATCCTAGAATGTCTGAATTCGTAGCCATCTCAAAGAATGTATTAGAGATCTCTACTGTACCTGCACAAAGGACAGGTAAGAGACATACCTAAGGGTTATGAAGTTTTTTGAATGACAAGACCTATGATTTACTTTTATCAAAAAAGTTTAAAAATGCAAACATTAGAAGGAACTTATCAAAGGGTTACAAAAACACTTTCTGAGGGAAGGTTAAAACAAAAGGACAAATTAAACAAAATAGGAAAACCGTAATTGAATTCATACTGTATTATACTCATTTAGTAAGGCAAAGCAGAAATGCCCGAAGAAAGTGTAACAAAAGAAAGGTGGAGTTGCCTAATTTAGATAAAGCACTACTACCTTTGCTTTTAGTTTGCTATGGAACTGAGTCAGCTTCACCAATCTGTACCTGAACCACTGTCTCTGTAAGTACTGATAACACATACCATATTATCTACCTTCCCTTCAAAATCTTTTAAAACATGTAAGAAATAATACTGCATACAGTCAAAGAACCAAGCTGTTTTGTTTCCACACTTATTCTCGGCTGCATTCAGATTAGTTACCACTATTATACCACTGCACTGCTGCTTCTCTGCTGCAAGTAAGGCAAGTAAGTCCTCCCCACAGGCATCAGTATCTTTATGTGGATCCCAGAAATTTATCTCAAGCTAGTATGCTAAGGCTGAGACATATCACTAGTGCATGTAATGCAGTGACACAGCTCAGTCTCTGCAAAGAGTTGTAACTAAAGCCTCTTGTTCTTCTTTGAGACTAATAATATTACAACCTAAATGTATCACAGTTAGCTCCATCTGAGCTTTTCCATTACATTCACAAAGCAGATAACTAAAACAGTGCAGTTATTTTAGACAGAAGAAAAGATATGGTAGAATAGGCATGCAGGACAGTTTTCAGGGACCTTATTAAAATAAAACTGTAATAAAGTGCACTGTAATAATGTAATTATATTTCCAAATACTATTTACTTCTAATGAACAATCATTGCTGAAAAAAAACCCCAAACACAAATAAAAATCCACTATTGATTTACTGAACAGCCAAAGAGGTGACCCAAGTTTAGGTCACAATGTTTTTTTACATTAAATTGTCCTAACCATTCCTTTAATGACAAAACAATGAAAAGGATATTGATAACAAGAGCATCTACATTTCATATTTATCCAGCTCTAGGGAGTTCATTATTACTGGACTACTTAACATTACAGCACTGTGGTTAGAAGTTCTACACCGAGTTTAAATCCCACTTACTTCTATACTCCCTCTGATTTTACAAGTGTTCTTCTCCTGATGAATAGGAATTAGTGGTAAGCCTCCGATCTTTGGACTTTTAGTTACAGACTGTTTTCTTGCTTTTCCAGCAGGTGGCCAGGTATCAGCATGCTGAAGAACAAAATGATTCCTTATTTTTGGTGTGGAATTTCATAAATACACAACATTCTTTTGTATGTAAAACTCCCTTGGAAAAAGCTATCTACTGTACAAAACCATGCCCTCCTCCTGTAGGAGAAGGGGGAAAACACTACAATGCTTAAAATTATGTTAATATTTTGTAAGTGCTGCACAATATTGAGTGAACAGAACCAAAATGTCTCTATACAATTTTCATGTATCAAACATCTTCCCTCCGTATTATTATTCCAATTATCTTCTAAAAATAGAAAATATCATCAAACCAGAAACACACATTGTCTTGATTCACAATTTCAAAATTCCACATAAAAATGCTTTCAGGAGTCCCAACAAAAGTTTCTGAAATAAAATAAAATTACCCCAATTTGCAAACAAGTGTTTCAAAATTTATATTAATAGTTTAGGAGAAAATAATTGCTTAACCTACAGTAACAACATGTGTTATGCAAAAGGAAATGGCTTTACATTCTGAATGCAACAAAACCACAATCTACAAATGATCGGATCTGGCTTCAATGATAGTCTTTGCTTTAGCTCTACTGAAACAGGTCAGTTTTGGGGAGAACTCCAAAGTGTGAAGCTTCAGAGTGAAAAACATGACTGGGAAGAGAAGGGAAGAAAAAAAAAAATCATTAACTGAATATTTCAAATAAAATGTTAAAAACTCTTTCTGTAAGAGGTCTATAATGAACTTTCATTAGCAGATCATGTAGAATTTCACATGTAGAAATTTGAGCACATGTGCTTGAAGCTCACAGAGTCCTCTGGTGATGTTAATGGTAACCAGAGAGATAGCTCTGAGAACAAGGTAGTGTAAGAGTATTTTCCTGAAAAAGCTTCAACATAAGATACTGTGAATCAAAGAGGATGTAGGAGGCTTACAGAAGAATAGTTTCTAAAGCTCGGAGATGAGCACACAAAGCTAAATCAGCACAACTCCAAAGGAAATCGGCAACTGTAAAGGAACCCTAACGAAAGCCATGAATGCTTTATGTAAATATTGGCAAAATACTAATCCAAAGCATCAGTTATAATAAATAGGAAACAAGAAATTCTGTCTGAACATAAGAAAAAAACAACCCTTTTTTACTGTGGGAGTGGTTAAACACTGGAACAAATTGCCCAGAGAGGTTGTGGAGTCTCCAGTTTTTCAAATCTGACTAGACACAGCCCTGAGCAACCTGCTCTAGCTGACCCTGCTTTGAACAGAGGGATTTGACTAGATGATCCCCAGAGGTCCCTTCCAAGTTAAACAGTTCTGTCACACTGTCCAAATCTGTAATAGATTTCTTTTCACAGGTGTCAGGATCTTCAGTGTCCTTTATTTTTTTTAATGGTATTCAATCTTCCAAATCCATGAAGTAAGAAGTCTCTTCAAGACTGTATACAAAAATCCAGTTGTGGAGCTGTGATCATACTTGCAGATGGTCTGCAAGTAAAGACAACATTACTACTAAAAAGCCATCAGAATCAGTGATGATTGACTTAGAATAGCAGTCTAGAAATCTGAAGCCCCAATTCCAAATTTAGAAAAAACATTTTATAAATTCACATCTTTATGGAGTAAAAAATTCTCACACGTGGTGCTGACCAGGGTGATGTAAAAGTCTTGTAAGAGTTCTCACCAGTGAACATTAAGAACATTTTCTTCCAATGAAACATTGATAAGGTATTATCTGAAAGGGCAGGTCTTGCCAACCAAAATCAGTTTATTGTGGACCAAGATACAAGACACAGATGCAATTCAGAAAGTGACTGAGAAACTTTAAGTCAGCTTCCAAAGGAAACTGCCTCCCTTAATTCTCAGCAAGCTTAAGGAAACTATCCCTGTCAGTTAAGCAGCCTGATTTCTCTTCTGTGTCTATAACATTTCTTAAAATAGAAGTCTGTGAAAGTACATCAGAAATACCAGCAACGTATTAGGCCACATAACAAATGTATTTATTCATAGTTTTGACCTATCTGCTCAACTGCACCTCATGGTAATATAATGTGCCTCTCTCTAGTTGATCAAAGGCAATGGAACTGGAAGAATATTATTGTATCCGTCTTCATATCAATTAATTACTTCCAACTGTATACTATATATGCTATTAAGTGATTTTGTACAAAACTATTATAAAATTCAAGAATCAAGTTTTAGCCATACTTTTCAGGATGATTTTGCATAAAACTGAAAGAAACAATCATCCTCCTTCAAACTCTCTTAGTATTTACCAGCTTGAAGTACGAGATTAATAACCTCCAGGCTAACTTGATTTTCTGTATCAAAAGTACTTTTGTTACTAATTACAGTGGTACCTGCACTTTGCTATTTATATTCTCTGCACTATTTATACTACAGGAATAAACATTATCAGAACACAGGGGAAAAAAAGGGTAACAATACTACTATTATCTTACCAATATTAATTACCAATAAAGTCTCATTCTGCTCAAGCACTAAGAAGCACAGTAACATAGATTTATCTCCCTCCTAATTGCACTGGATCATTAAATGTCAATGTCTTAACACTTCAAAAACTACTTCACAATATTTTTCAATTTGTAATCTAAGCTATTCCACTGACAAATAAAATGTGCTGCCTTGCAGTCTCTCTAACATAAAGGTGTTCAAATACTGTGATAACAGATAAAGTAAAAGACAAGCTATCCTCCCTAAAGATGGCCTCAATTTGAAAATTTTAACTAGAAATAACCTCAGCTGACATTTACAGTTTTCTGGTTTAGAAATGGGATGATGTCTGCTGCTGCATGATATAAAACATTTGCAGATCTTATAGTATGCTTTAGCAACATAAGCCATTGCGTTCTCAAGGAGATTTTCGCTGTAAAATATATTTAAAGCACTAGATTGTAATAAGAACAATACAGCAAATCTGTATTGTCAGCACTTAATTTGTCATGTAATTCGAAGACTGAAAACATTTCTGCTTTTCAGAATGCTGATTAAAAAAAACAAAAAACGAACACCACAGAAAAAAAAACACTAAAAAACCCCAAACCCCTCCCAATGTAGCTCATTAGTATTGCTAATTCACTGTACTGTTCCTTCATTAGAAAGAAGTTTAAAGAAAAATATTAATTCACAGCAGGTTTTTTTTTAAATGCACATGAAATGATGTAATTGTTTTTGTTAGAAAAAAATCCTGAACATTGAGCAGTGTCTCTCAGTTTTTTTATCTACATTGTCAGAGGAACGTTCGACATCCCACACTACCTGATCAGAATCCTAACAGATTGCCCTTCTTGTGATTTTACATCAAAAGGACTTCAACAGTTACCAAGCTTCTATGAGTTATTTCTAAGTAGCCTATATCAATAACCTCTGAGCCTATTTGTTGTGACACCGCTCATGTTATGCCCATGAGATGTATGGTAGGACTGGTGGCTGTTTCCATAGAAACTACAATAGTTACTTCAGTTAAGGGAGCTGAATAAGGCAAAAATTTGGAAGTCTTACTTACAAGGCATGCATTATACTTCTAGCACTACTATCTATGAAGGTCAGATTGTGTTTTAGAAAGCCTCTAAGAAGTATGTATTGCAACAGTCTTGTGCCTACTCCACTTCATGTAATACGTAAAGCTCACAGGTAATCATAAATCTAGTGATGTTTATTCACAGTGATATTCCCCAAAGTTCCTTGAACATCACAGGAAAGACAAGAAAAAATCTGACACAAATACAAAATCCTTTTAAAACCTTAAACTATGTTCCAGTCTCCTGTCAGGCTGAATTCTTCCCATCTCTCTTACTCCCACTTCCTCCTACGTAAATATTAAACTCCATTTGCAAGGATGCATTATATGGCACCCAAATGTATACCCTCCTTACTCACAATCTAGTAACAAGCAGATTACTTAATTTAGGATAATGCCTACACAACAAAATTAGTTATCAGTGTTAACTAAGCTAACATGGATACCAGAGAAATACAGCTGTATTGGCACAGCTCTTCAACAGGGCTAGTTCATACCATTATGTTTTTAAACAAGACACCCTTCTTTCATGACTACTTTGCATGCAGCATCCAAACTAGCGAGCAGAGAAATAGCACTGAGGCGTTGTGGCACACAGACATAACCTTTAGGTCAATGGCCAGAATTTCACCCAGAAGAGGTTTATTACTGCAAAGGAAAGGAGTTGTCTTTCTTTAACCAGCTTCTCGACAACAGAGCAGGGGGAAAAAAAAAAAACGATGCCAGAATGCAATATTCTTCTCCCCTGCTCTCAAAGCACTCAGCTTTCATATGAAAATGACATTATAAATAATAGTCTTCATACACTAAGACCCATCTTTTTGCAGTTTTATTACATTGAGTATTACAGAAACTTTAATGGCATTGCAACTTTATCTATAACATATCCATAACACATACATATCATTGTTTAATGGGATTTTCATAACAGCAGTAAAAGTTACATTTCTTTGATCAGATTAGTACCTGTGCAGTAAAAATGCTGATCATCCACTCCATCTGTGCATCTTGTCCATCACAACATATATACCTAGAACACAATATATAATTAACAACAAAACCAACAAAAATTCCTGTTGCAGTTAAACATATTAAAGAACAGGCTTCTAAACAACTTCAAACCGTGCTCACATTCATTTATGAACGCTGTCTATAGTTATTAACACTCCCATAAGAAGATAGGGAAATACAAATACTTCAAATTATCACTTTACGCTAGTCTGAAGACAAGGCACATGCATCATTTAAAGCATGTGCATAGGTTTAAAATCTATCATTCTAAATTTATGAAAATTGTTTGCTTTATGGCCACAGAAGGGACACAGACACCTAATCCCAAAAGACTACCAAAACATATGAATTAAGACTGTTTAGTTAATTAAGAAAAACATAGCAAAAAGTCAGCATGCAAGCAAAATAATGACTCTTCATTTTCAGACATGTTTCTTTTGAAATTGAACATTTCAACAAACATTAAACACTGAAGTTAAACCAAGCATGTGATTCACGTTTACCTACCACTGGTGCTTTTCAGAAAATACTGCAAGTCCCCAGCTGAAACAAATAAAATTTTCAAAAATTAGTTCCAGAAACTCAAGACAGGGACATATTGCTCAAACTGCAGCAGAGATTCATTACCTTGATATAGTGCTTTTAAGTGTAAGTGTGTGTGTGTGGGGGGGGTAGTTTACAAAGTTTAAGTGTGCACTGCAAATCTAGAATGAAATTGTGGGTTTGATGATGGATTTTACTCATTTTCCTCACAGTTGATTTGCAGGTAATGAACATTCTGTTCTGGACAAAGGGTATAGCCAAACCCTGCAGATGATGGCTAACTACTTGCCTCATTTTGGCTGTGGCTGTACTTTTCTGAAAGCTGCTGGAAGTAGAACTGCTAATATGGTGCCCAGCAAAGAGTCCACTACAGTATGGAAGTCACAGAGGGAAAAGAGGTATACTTGCACTATAAACAGAAGGAATCACATGAGTTTACAGAGATTTTAAAATTACTGAAGAAAAAAAAAGTAGGAGTAGATGCACAATGAAGCCTCCAAGGTGAAAGAAACACAGGCACTCCTGGAGATCCAGAAGAGACTTTGCAAAGTCTGCTTTTGAAAGTAGACTGAAAATAAACCTCAAGCAAAGAACCTACCTGCAAAGACTCATTTACATAATCTTTGTATTCCTATTTTGTACTAATCTCCTACTCATTCTGCACTTAGCTCAAAAAAAAAAAACCACCAACAACTTTTTCTCTAACACAACTAAGCTTTGAAATTTACAGACCTTTTGGGGGAGTTTTGATGTGCCAACTATAAAGGAAAAGTTCAAGCAGATCTGTTTAAAGGCTACAGCCATCTTAGAATCCCCTTGGTATAGGATCCTATGTACATTGTCTCAGTGTCTCAAAGCTTTGACTGAAGAAGTACTGGAAATATCTGAGAAAAACAGGTGTCATTTTTCACTGCTTTTTTCCAGAGACATAGGTACTGATGTTTGTAAAGGGCACTGTAGTCTTCAGCTAGAAAAAACATCAAAATAATAAGGATCCTGAAAAAGGAAAATCCTCTACTGAACAACAAGAACTGTCACTAAAGGCCATGACTGGTTTTCTCTTCTCTCTTTTTTTCTTGGTGCGAAGAAGGTATGTCCACCAATGACATGCAGGACACATACTACAAAACTAAGTGAGCTAGCAGCAAACATATTCACAAGAGATAATACACTTAAGATTAAAAAAAGCCAATCAATAATTTCCTAGCACAGAAGAGTTAACATGGAACACAAAAACAGAGATAGAAACAGAACAAATAATATCATAGACGGTAATTTAATTCAGGATACTTCAGTTAGCTTCTTGACTTTTCCTTGTTCCCCAGTGTTTTATGTTCTCCTTTCTTGACGATGCTACAAGTACCTTGCTACACAGTGTTTAACTTATTTTCTTTTCTATTCTTACTTTGTTGGTGGCTTCATTTTCTTTTTCACGCCAAGATAAAGCTTCAGGGAATTGACAGGCAACACTTTTTCAGGTTTGCTAGCCTGCAAATAAAAATAAGATTCTAATTACCGTATCAGGAATGTGCAAAAGAGAAAATGCCACATGACTGTCTTCACAGTTAGGCTTCTTTCATGGGCTGCACCCCTCTTTTCTAACAGATCATTATGGGTTTTCTCTCTCTTTCCCATTAAAAAGGTGTGCCAATCACTATTACTGGAAGCAGACTAATTAAGAACTTGAGGTCCATGTGAAGTCACAAAACTGTAACACAACTGGAATAATAAGATGCGGTGGTACAATTCACAGAAGTGGAGTGCTGCAACATATGGACACAAGCTCTTTGAGAGACACAGTCAGGGAAAATAAGGAGTGGGGCTGCCCTCTGTTAAAGGAGCTCTTCTATGGGATGAGCAGTATCATGGTGAGTATTTGCTTCAGATGACCCAATCAGGATAAAAAAAAAGCAAATGAAGCCTTTAAACAACCCAAGGAAGTCTCTGGGTAACAGATCCTGACTCTGATGGGGAAGGCAGGGCTTTTCTCTCCCTGTTATCTTCTGGAATGGCAACACAGCAATACAGCTGATTTCTGGAATGTGTCAGGTATAACTTCTTGACACCAGTACTGGATGGGCCAACAAGGGGTGATGCACAGCTAGATCTGCTATTCACAGACAAGGAAGAACTGGTCAGGAAGATGATAATCAATGGTAGTATTGGCCATAGTTACATGGAATAGTAGAGCTCAAGATCCTGAGGATAAAAAAGATGACAAGTTGGCAGAGGACAGGTCATGGAGATTAGAAGAGCAACATTTGGCTTATTCAAGGAATTGATAGGTGGGTGTGCACAGGAGGAGGCAACTCTGATGGGTAAAGGAGCTCAGGAAAGCTGTCAGGTCTTTAAGGACAGCATCCTCCAAGAACAATAATAGTTCATCCCAATACTCAGGAAAACAAGTAGATTTATCAGGAGACAAGCCCAGGCAAATAGGTAGCTCATGGTGGAGCTCCAATGCAGACAAACAGTATATAGAAGGTGGAAGCAGGGAGAGACTGTGAAGAAAGAAATTTAGAAACACTGCCCAGTACATGTAGATACGGTGTTAGGAAAGTCAAAACTCATTTGGAATTGAGACCTGCTATGGACATTAAGGGTAACATGTAGAGCTTCTACACCGGTATCTTAGTAGTAAAAGGCTGAACAAGGAAAATGTAGAACCAATCCTGAACAGAGAGGGTGAATTAGCAACAGCAGACACAGGTAAGGCTAAGGTAACTCAGTATCTTCTTTGCATCGGTCTTCACACCAGCCAGGTCTCCTAGGCCTCTATGCTTACAGACAGCGTTCAAGAAAGAGAATTACAACTGCACCAGAGGAGCACTGGATCAAGTCAGGAAAGGCTTGAGAGAATTTAAGTCATGCAAGTCCGTTGGATCAGATACACTGCATCCAAGGGTTCTGAGTGTGCTGGCTGACATCCTTGAAAGGCTGCTCTGTGTCGTCTTGGAAGTGTCAGAGATCAAGGGCAATGACTGGTAACTGAAAAAAAGAAAACATTGCATCCATCCTGAATAAAGGCTGAAAAGAGAACTTGAAGAACTAGTTGCCTGCCAGCCTCATTTCAGTCGCTGGGCAAATCCTGGATTGAATTTTCTTGGAGCATGTTTCTGAGCATGTGGAAGAGAAGGTGCTTCTGGAAGCACGGAGCATGACCAACGTGATTAATTTCTACAATAACACTGTAGAAAACTAGATTTGTGGATGAGGGGGGAGTGATGGATGTCATTTACCTCAAGACTTCTCACACTGTCTCCCACAATATTCTTCTACCCAAGTTGGGATGTTACAGCCTGGATGGGTGGACATCTGTATCAATAAAAAGCTAGTTGCACAGACTCAGAGGGTAACGGTTAATCAGACATACTCTAAATTGCTGACCTATGACAAGGAAAGTACTGCAGGGGTCTATCCTGGGACCTGTCCTTTTTAACATCTTCATCAATGGCCTGGAGAAGTCAACCATCCAGTTTGCACAACGACCCAGAGGATCAGCCAATATGCTTTGGGGCAGGGCTGACTGCCAGAGGGACCTATAGAGGACAAAGATATGGGCCAACAGGAATCTTATGAAATTCAACAACGATAAATACCAAGTCCTGCACCAGGGAAGGAAAAAAAACCCTGCAATGACACAGATGGGGAAGGAGCTCTGCTGAGAAGGGCCTGAGGATGCTGGCAGATGGAAAGCTGGGCACAAGCCAGCAGTGTGTCCTGGCAGCAAAGAAGGTCTCCCGGGCTGTGTTAGAAGCACAGCTGATAGGTTGAAGAGAGTGATTTTCCCCCTCTCCTCAGCACTTCTGAGACTGCATCTGCAGTCCTGCATCCAGTTTTGGGCCCCCCCCAATAGAAAAAAAAGAGAATCAATATTCTGGAGTGAGTTCAGCAGAGGCCTACCGGACTGGCTGGGGGCTGGAGCACTTGCCCTGTGAGGAGAGGCTGACCTAACAGCAACCCCCTCAGCATCTACAGGGAAGTTATCAGGAAGACCGAGTGAGGCTCTTCACATTGTAAGAAGACGACTAGATATAAGGACAAACTTTTTCCTATGAGGACAATCAGGTACTGCAACAGGCTGCCCAGAGAGGTTGTGCAGTCTCCATCCTCTGGGGTTTTCAAGACTTGACTGCATCAGGCCCTGAGCCACCTGTTCTGACCTCAGTTGCTAGCCTTGCTGTGAACAGGAAGTTGGACTAGAGATCTCCTGAGGTTCCTTCTTTCCTTGCTCCTTCTTGAACAAACTACCTTTAGCCAACCTACAACAGACATATACTCACTCTAGGTATGAGAACTGAATGTGCCTGGAGGATGAAATGCTGAAAGGAAACAAATTTTCATGTACGCTATTCTACTATAGAACACAACTAACATCTAACACAACACACTAACATCCCTTTAGTACTTTTAGGTCAAGGGTTTTAGCTTTCTATTTAGAAAAAAAAAATACTTAATAGATCTTATAATCCCAGTACATAAAACTACTCCACAGTGTTTACTGTCTTGCACTCTCAATTTCTCCTTCTACAGCTTTCAATCTCTAACGCTCCTGTGTGGGGAAAAAGAGACAGAATCCGAGATGGCATAAACATTTAAGAAAACAAAGAAACACACAACAGTTTTATTGTTGGTGTTCTTGTGTAACTTCCTGCTCAAAGCAACGGTACTGTGAGTATGAAAAAGCACTCCTACAAAACATGCTACTTAGTTAAACAATAGTATACTTTTCACAAAAATGTACCTTAAGTTAGCTATTTGTCTGTGTGTGAGCCTACCTCTTAAAAACAGTACATTAAAGTGGTATGTTATTTCAGTCAATTAGCACAACATTGTAATTTAACATACAGTATCATGGAAACTTTTCACTTTTTGATAATTGCTCTTGAGCAAGAGAAACACTTAACTGAATGTATCTCCACCTGCATATACAAACTTAATTTGCTGTAAATAAGATTTTGTAAATTAATTAGTAAATGCAGTCTTATTAAATACAATTTTCCATATGCAATGTCAAGTTTTCCTATGATTCACTTCTAAATACGACTAAAATTAAACAAAGAGCGGTAGATGAACATCTCTCAAAAAAAAAAACCAAACAACCCAAACTAACTGATATACACTATTTTGTCAGAATGGTATTTCCATTTGCTTTTTTAAAAAACAAATGTAAAAACCATTTAAAAGTAACACTGTTCAAAACTCCATTGGAGTTGGGGAATTTAATGTTTTATAAATCAGAATGGTTTAAAAAAGCAGATTATAAAGTAGCATAACTATCCTATCATAAACTCTTTCCAAGACACTAATTAAGGTTTTATGGGCATATTAATTTATTCTCACATATGTGCCAATTTGAGTTTTAGCACTAAATTATGAGACACTATTTTTGACATTCTGGGGTCATTCTAATTAAGATTATATCCACAGTATCACAAGACGACACAATATTTCTTTTGCATTAGCTTACTTGAGCAATGGATCTGTCTTCAAAAAAAAGTATTTTATGAAGGTCAGCAAGTATACATCTATATTTGCTGCATAGGCAAAACCAGCAGTCAGCAAAAATTAGAGCACTTCAAACTTTAAGAGTTTTTGTTTTTCTTTTTTAAACCAGAAATTACCAAAACTAAAATGAAAACATAGTTCACAATGCATATTTAGTTTTATACTTTAATACAAGCTGTGTACACTCAAAAACACTCTTTAAAGAAAAGTCCCATGAAATATTTAAAACTGAACCCACCATGCTATTAAGTATGCCTAAATTTGCTTCTGTGGAATTCCGAGGTATATCTAATTATCAATACTAGGTTTTGGAGGACTGAGAATACATCCCAAAACTGCTGTTAGGAAGCAGGGGAACATTTTGCTAGTGTATTGAGAGTTACCGTTTCCTATAATCTCTTTTATCATGACACTTGTAGGTATAAGAACCCTGTTGCTTGTACTTTCTAAAGGCTTTGTGTAAGATACCAAGAATAAACAGCATGCAGCTCACTTAAGTTCCATATTACTTCTACTACTGCTCTCTACAGTAGGTTTTCAAAAAACTTAAGTCACAGTACACGCATTCCTAAACATTTTTTGGTTTTGGGGGTTCTTGGGGGGGGGGTGGTGTTGTTTTTTTGGTTTTTTTTTTAAGTTTTTAGTAATGCATAATTACAGTAGCTAAATAAGCAACTGACACAAACTCCTTTTACTAAAGCATCTGTGAAATAGTAAGATAAAAAACTTGTACTTCAACCCCAGACTCTAGAAGTTGCCATTTAATATCAGAAATGGTGATCTGTTCGCCTTCTCTTTTTTGTACGAAAAAGAAAGCTTAAGCAAGTGCTTAAGAGTTTGGTGCAGAATTTGTCTGTTGTACCTTCATATCCTTATAAAGAAGCAAGTTTCCTTCCCGTAACACAAAATAACGCTCTTGAAATTTGTTTCCGGACAGTAGTTTTGATGGTTCTTCTTTGTACTTCAGATTGCCTGCTTTCATGCTACCTTTCTCACTTTTCTCTATCAAGAAAATAAAAAAGCATTTTGTTAGAAGACTTTACAACACTGGAAGCTGCTAGTTTTTAAGTGCCCTCAGTATTACTGTTTATCAAAAGACTAAAATTACAATTCCACTGATTTGTTATTATGTTATATATCTATATCAAAAATAAAACTAATTACATATAATATATACGTAATTATGTATTACATTTAAATAGATATCTATTAATATATATTATCTATTAATAAGAAAGGTATTCTTAAATATTGATGCCATTATGATATTAATTACTGGGGGAAAAAAAGTCTCCTCTGTTTCACTTCTAGGATAAGATGGAAAGAATCCACCAGCACACTTTAATTAAAAGAATCTTTTCAGACTAGAATGTGCAGTTAAGTCCAAAAGTATGACATGAATACTTTCAATCTCTGTGCTTCAGAGATACAAAAATTTTCCATAAAGATCTGTTTTTGTCATGAGTCTGTCTACATTTTTCTGAGTCAAAATACACACTAACACATTTATTTCATAAACTTAATAAAAAACCCCAAACAATCCTCGCACAAAAAAACCCAAACCAAACCCAAACCACAACTTTGCATTCAGCTTCATAAAGCATTTAAATTAGTACTGAAAAAGCTTTTTTTTAAAAAAAAAATAAATACCAGAACCATTGAAGGTTTTCAATGGTAGAGACTTGATTTTTCAATACATTCCCAGCAATTTAAAATTATAAATAAAATAATATAAAAAAGTATTACTAGTACGTGTAAACTACTGTACCACCACTTCTAGATGTTTTTGGTTTTCCTATTCTGCCCAATATATTTGGGGGGGGAGGGGGGGGCGGGGGGG